GCTCAGACACCCACCAGGGCTGGAAACACCAGAGCAGAGAACTGGAGCTCCTCTACACAAATATGGTGTGTCCTTCCCTTAAAACAGCAGTTCTCTGGTCTAGTGCCATCAGGATTAGGGCTGTATAATCCTCCCTTGTGTTTATGGGGTTCCAAGATGCTAAATACCATTTCAATGGAATGGTTTCAAGGGAATTCAGGAGAACAGCCCAGGGAGAACTCCAGTTTTACCATTTAACCACCTGAAGCAGACACAGTTCCAGCCAAAAACCTCCACTGACACCTAACATTGCACACATTGCCTGTCCTTCTCCAACAGCCTCCTGCTGAACACACTGCCCAGAGGGACAGGGACATGCTTCAGGCTCTCCCTCAAGAAAAGGACACACTTTGGGCTGTGGGACATACCCAAACCGTGGGGTATCGCTTGTCTGGAAGGCTGCCTTGCTGATGGGTGTATTACAGACACACCTCAGGCACTGGTGAAGCTCCTTTTTCAGACAAACATCTTTAACCCCACAGTTATCCCATGTCAGCACCTCTGCTGAGCTGGCTGCTTGGACACCTCTGTGAGATGCAAAGCTGTGTTTGGTGTCAGGTACAAACAGGCGATGTGCGTAGTTGCAAATGCGAAATGTGTGGACCCCGACAATGGGAGAGCTGTGAATTCTAACGATAACTGAGGAGAATAAAGCATGGAAAAGGGCCTTTGAACCTATCTGTTGTTTGCAATTAACCCTGGTTGATTTAGGAGCATTGGAATTAAAGTGTTAAAGATGTTGCTTTTTGCCTGCATTTAATAATTACCTTTTGAAGTATAATTTTAGAATATTACTTGTATCCTTGAAACTATAGCTTTGGAATATATATAAAGGAAATATGCTTATCTCATGCCTTACTGAAGCAGAGAAAAACAGCTTGAGAAAGGAAGATGAACATCACCTCAAGGGTTTATGGTTTCAACCAAAGGGAAACTGGACCGCCACCATCTGGGATCCTCCTTTTGAGATACATCCTGAGAAACTAAGATCACAATAGTGTACAGAATCATGATGTAATAATTTGGAATAAAAATTGCTGATGAGTAAAAAAATTGGAAATAGAAACTGCTGAAAAAGCTGATGGGTACCCCTATAAATACCTGTAACCATCAATTGTCGGTGTGCAGTGTGAGGGAAAACTTCCCCCACTGTGCCCAGCGCTGTATTGCTCATACTTTACCATATTAAATAATAAATTGATCGCTGCTTGAATATTGGCCTAGTCAAGCTTCTTATTCATAACACCTCCCAGTGAGGGTGGTGTGAGCTCCAGGGCAAAGATTCAGCTGTCCAGGCTGCAGAGCAGAGCTGCATGACCCACCAGGACAGCTCATCCCCTGCACCTCCCAGTTACAGACACACAAACACCCTCCATGAGCCTTTTGAAGGTGGGCACAGCACAGCAGGGGCTACAGGATTCCAAAGCCACCCTAAGCCAAAAGGAAAGAGCCTGGTGTGGCTCAAATAAATAAAAATTCAGTGTTCTTTGCTTTCAAAGCCTGACCAAAAATTCCACATTTCAAGATCAAGTCCCCAACTCTTCACCTCCCCAACTAAGAGTCAGACCCTTCCAGCTCTCCGAATTTCACGCGCCTGGTTGCCTGACACCTGTTTGCAAAGGAAAGCCAGAATGTTCTTGCTGCTGTCTGGTCAGCAGGCTGGCTCTCAAGGATAAAAGGCTGCTGGCACAAAGCACACACCACCCACAGGGTGCACATCAGCACCCTGGCAATCAGGGCTGCACTTCACTCACACTGCACTAGGCTCTTCCAGGGCAGGCTCTTCAATCACAGGTGCCTCAGGCAATCAAAAAGAGATTTCCCAAATGGCTCTCCTGAAGTCTCACACCTAAATAAGATGTGTTAAAGCTGAGTTGTCCCCTACACCAGCAACACCACTCTAACCCTTTTAAAAAGGAACTAAATGCTTCCAAGGCAATCTCTGCTGGAGACTCCTCATCCCTGAGCACTGGAGCAGCACCCAGGGCTGTGACACCACATTGTTCAATGTGCTGAGCTCTCCTTCCTGAGCCCAGAGCTGATTCCTGATGACAAGCACAAGCATTCCCCACAGGAGCAAACATGATAAAAATGTCTGTGTGACTGAATGCTTCTTGTGAAGCCTCAGGGCAGGGGAATACCAGGACCCAACATCACCTGCAACGTGTCAGGGTGGTTAAATGAGTGACCAGATGACAGGAGTCCCTGTGCTGAATGGAGTTTGTGCCAGATTGAGTCCAGAGGCTCACCGGTACAACTCTAAATTAAGATTTGGCACTGCTCTGTGGGCACATCACCCAAGATCTCTTCCCCAGCTGAGCCTGTGGGACTGGAGATCTTTAATGGAAGCCAGGCTGCCTCTCATGGCTGCTCATTGACAGCAGCTGATATTTTTCAGCACAGCTCCCCTCTCCAGGCTCATTAAAAACAACAGAGAACAGCCACAGACCTACAGAAAAGGCTCCCCAGATATCTGAGAACAGACTTTCACAGCTGAAGATGCATTTCAATGCACACTGACATTCCCAAGGAATTCCCATCCATGTCTGCCACCAAACCAGGCAGCAGGAAGGATAAATCACAATTTTCAAAGGCACCAGGTCACCTCTTTCACCTCACATTCCCAATGGCTACTTACAGGGCCAAAATTCTGCAGAACGAACTCATTAAACACATTTTCAGACAAATACTGCAAGAAAGCAATGTCATGTTCTTTCTGCAGAAAAGGTCCTTATCCTTCTTGGAAAAAATATAAGCTAGCAGCTAGAAAATAGAAATGTACTACAGGTAGATGAATAACTGCTTCCTTTTCAGCTTTTTCCTCCAGGAGACTGGTGATCACAAAATGGACCTTAAAAATCATCTTGTTCCATCCCTTGCCATGGGCAAGGACACCTCCCACCATCCCAGGTTGCTCAGAGCCACATCCAACCTCTCCCTGAGCACTTCCAGGGATCCAGGGCAGCCACAGGTGCTCTGCACCACCTGTTGAGAGCCTCATCACACTCATAAATCACCCTCATCACTGCCCATAGACAGGAAAGAAGTTAATTTTACTGAAAATGAGAATTCATGCAAAGTCTCAGTAAATAACTCAGGGAGATGAAAGCTCTTTTCTGAGATTTCTGTGACATTTCCAGTGCTGCTCAAATCCAGGCAATTGGTAACATAAAGCAAGAAAAAAAAAAACACCTTCCCACCCTTCCAACACTGCTGTATGTGGGATATGCTATTGAAGGCTCTAATTTGGCCTCTTTTCAATCACCCCATCCATAGATTATTTCTTTAGCAGATTAAGCCAAAAGTAAAAATATCTTTCAATTACAGCATTGCAAGATAAAACCACTGAGACCCCCCAACAGCAAACAGTTACCCAAGAGCTTCCTTTCTGCTCAGGGTGTTTTTTGCCTCATTTTTGCAGTGAGATGGTTCGGGGTGGTGTAGTTGCTCTCCTCTGCCTTTTGGGGAAGAGCTGACAGCAAGAACGGCAGGGAGGCTTTTCTTCACTGGAGCTGAGGGTGATTAACTCCCTGGTTTTGTCAGGGGAATGACAGCAACACTGAAGACAGTGCTCAGTGTCACAGGCACAGGATGCAGCTCTGCACCAGGGAAACATCTCCCAGCTCCAGGGGTTTGCTCTGTCAGGCACCAACAAATGCACTGGGAATAAAGAACCCCAGTGCTGGTAGCAGGGAGGATCTTTATCTTCACTGTGTCTCTTCAAATCCAAAAGGCAATCAGTCTAATTCAAATTATAAGCAAATACAACCAGCAAAAAGCTGGAACAAGAATGCCTCATATAGTTATAGCAGCACCACCCAAGCATCACTCCTGTCCATGAGATTTCCCCCTAAATTATAAATTTAAAGTAAATTTTAGTGCTGCTGCATCTCACAGCACACTTCAGCCAACTTGGGCAGCAAAGTCACAGTGGCTGAAACAAAAAAAAAAGGCAACAAAACCCCAAACCAACACTGCAGGAACTCCGGCCATGTGATAGAAATACAGGCAGCAGCAGAGGAGAGGATTCTTAGGAAGAGATCCCTGCAGGCAGCAGAGATGAGGATTTCCTCTGCTCTCCCCACCTGGCATGACCTGAAAGCCAAAATGTGAGGAGCTGCTCCTCACAAATCCCTGCACCACAGCCCGGGCTGCTCCTGCTTTTCATCTCTGCTTTGCACCTCCAGGGCTGTGTGTAACACCTGCACAGCAGAGAGTCGCAGCTCATCCCGCATCACTCTCAATTCTGCTTCTAAAAAAAGGAAAATCCCATTTGTTAATGGAGTAGCAGGTGTTTTGTAACAAACAGCCTCCAAAAATAGGTGCTGGGTTTCAGGTACCTCTGCTGATTCCTAAAGAATGAGCTGAGCTGGAGAATGTGCGATCTCTCAGCTGAACCTAAAGAGTTCGTTCCGTCTAACAATACATTTGACTAAAAAAAATTCTGGTTTGAACTTTTCCACTGCAGAGAAAAAACAAACAGAAAGAAAAAGGCAAGCAGAGAACCCCACAAGTACAAAATTCCAGCTTATTTATTTACAAGGGTACAAGTGATCCTTACATGTTTGGCACTATTTACATTTTTTCGCCTCGATTGTAATCCCTCTCAGGACGCTACTTACAAAGTTTACATCAACACCCAACCAAAACCAGGGCGGTTTTTTCCATGAGCTCCAGCGGGCAACTTTCCCACAACTCAACTAAACCCTCTCTTATACACAGGAAAGCGCCGGGTAGGTATAAAAAACAATCGCGGATTTGTAATTAGAACTCCAGAGGGCAAACCCCCACCTTGCCTCACGCTCTGCAGGTGCGCGCACACCTGTGGGGATGCGCCGAATGGGAGATGTTGAGACCCCCTCAGGGGACCTCCGCAGCGTCCCCAGCCCGGGATGCCCGCAGTGTGGTGACACTGATCCTGTGTCCTGCCCTACCCCCCGTTCCCGCTCAGCCCGGCTCACCTCGCTCATGTCGCGACAGTGTCCCAGTGTGACAGTGGCAGCGGCACCGCCGGCGCTCAACGCTCCCGCCGCGCCCGCGACGCGCCCGTTAAGAAGCGGCGCCGCGCGCCCGGCCCGGCCCGCGCCGGCCAATCAGCGCAGCGCGCGCGCGGGCCCCACCCAATCCCCGCGCTCCCCGCCATCCCGAGAGCGCGCGGCGCCCCCTGGCGGCCCTCAGAGCCCTCACGGCCGGCAGCGCTCCCCGCGTCCTCCTCCTCCTCCTCATCCTCCTCTTATTTTCCTTCTTTTCTTCCTCCTTTTCCTCCTTTTCTTCCTCCTTTTCCTCGTCTTCCTACTCCTCCTCCTTCCCCTCCGCTCTTCCCCGAGTGCCCGGCACCATGCGCGCCTCTCTGGGGTGGCTTCAGGCTTCCCCACAGAGGAGAGCCACGAACTCCAGGTGTGCTGGACGCAGCCTGGCAATAGGGAATTATTGCGGCAGATTGGATGAATAAATTAAATGGGGAACTTTTTTTTCTTTTTTCTTACAGTGAGAATGGTGAGGCAGTGGAACAGGCTGGCCAGGGAGGTTGTGGATGGTTCAAAAGGTTCTTACAATAAAGGTAACTCCAGTAGTTGCTTTATTTATACCCTGCCATTTATGCTGTGTGATGGCACCACATTTTAGTTTTGAGGTAACCCTTTCTCTGTCAGCCTTTCTGGGCCATGGCAATCCCTCAATTTAAAGGTGCCTCAACCTGGCAGTGTTCAAAGCCAGGTGGGAGCCTTGAGCAGCCTGGAAGGGTGGAAGGTGTCCCATGGCAGAGGGTTTGGGGCGAGATGATCTTTAAAATCCTTTTCTAACTCCTTAATGTCCTGTGATCCTTTAAACCAGGCATAGAATCTCTGCTCTCCTCCCCCCTGCCTTTCCTCTCTGTCTCATCAGTCTTGCTGCCATTCCTGTTCCAACTTACAGCATTTTTTCCAGAGATACACAGAAAACAGCCCTTTCTATCATTTCTCTGAATGGTTAATTAAAGCAGGAATTTGGGATGTGTGCTGTTGTGCTCCAGCATCCGTCTTTTGATGGAGCACAATCGCTATATTTGGCAATACACACTCAGATGCTCTGACTCACGTATCTGTGAAGAAATATAGGTTCAGTTAGCTCTGGGAATGCACTTAACTCCCTCAAATTTTTCTCAAATCAATAAGAAAAGTTAAAGTATTATATTGGAGAGCCCAAGAAGCTTGACAAGCCCTCCCACTTCCAGGGACTACCTTGCAGCAGCCTCATCTCTTCGCCAATATCTGTCTTCAGGGCCAGTATTAATAGAGGCAGGGAAATAAATTTGATGAGAAATCACATTTTCCCTTGGAGCTGGAGAGGCAGGAGGGGCTGGGCTCCTTCATCTGAGGATGAGGAGGCTCCACAGGCAGTGGAACCAGGGGTGTGTATCCTGGGAATATTTTAGGGATGCTGGCCAAATGTGTAGGGATGGGATCAGGACAGCTGGAGCTGAATTTGGCAAGGGATGTGAAAAATAATACGGGCTTCTACAAGTCTGTTGGCCAGAAAAGGAGGAGAAAAGAAAATTTACCCCTCTGGAAAACAAAACAAGAAATCTGAGATACTGAACACAAATTTTGCCTCTTTCACCATTCCATTATTCCCAGGACCTCCACCAGCATCTGGCATTTTTTCAAATTAACATGAATTGTCCCAGCTTTTGGTGTGAGTGACCCAAACAGGCCACAAATATGGTACAAGTTCATTGCAGGAGCAGCTTCAGGAGCTGCCCTGTGAGGACCCAAAATAAAGATGATGATGATGAAGTTTAGCCCCTGAAGAAGCTGTGTTTCATGTGACACCATTTTCCAGGGAAGAGCAATTGTGGGTGTATTGCATTAGTATTCCTGTTCTGACAGGAGTGCCACTGGTCTGTCAGCTTATGGATCCCAGGCACAATGCTAACATAAATTATTAACAGAGAATTGCTGATCAAAGGGCTCCCAATCTCATGGGAAGGGACACAGAAAACTGAGAGGAAATCTGTTCAGGTCCCTTTGACTCCAGGGGGAATCACATCGGTCTCACTCTTCACCATGAAAATAAATGTGTCAAACCCAAGCAGAAAATCTCCTGCTGATAATTCAGGCTGTGTGCCCCGAGAAGCAGGTTAGCAGAGAAAGCTCTCTGCACTAAATGCTGCAGGAGAACATACAAAATTCTTATTTTCTGATCTGTTTGGAGGAGGTCACAGTTTAAGAGAGGCACCTGGAGGGCTGAGCTGTGTCTGGGAGGTGGCACTCTGGAAACACAGCACCCAGCCTGTGCCTCTTTAGGGGAACAATGCTGAGGTGTGACAGTGCCCTCCAAGCAGAGACTCTGCCCTGAGGACAACTTTGCATGCAGACACAGTTAAAGGTGCATTATCTGCCCTCAGACAGGTCCTGAGTGAGCACAGAGCTCCCCTCTACCAGGGAAAGCCTCTGACCTGCAGAGATGCAGCTGTTCTCTCTCTCTCCCTCTAAATCTTGTTCCCTGCCTCCCAGCTTTGCATCTCATACACTGCAGGAAATTTCTGTAGTCAGCCAGAGCAATCCAGACATGAACTTTGGGCTGAAATGCTCTGTGCCTCTCCTCCTTTGCAGTGTGGACTGAACTTAATTATTCCATTTACAATAACGGAATAATTACAGACACACAGATGCCCCCAAATCCATCTTAAATGGACAAATCCCAAGTTCTGGGAATGCAGCAGCAACCTGAGCTTTTCAAAAGGTTCTTACAACAAAGGCAACTCCAGTAGTTGTTTTATTTATACCCTGCCATTTATGCTGTGTGATGGCACTGCATTTTAGTTTTGAGGTACCCCTTTCCATGTCAGCTTTCTAACCCATGGCAATCCCTCAATTTAAAGGTGCCCCAAAGTTCTGCTTTTACTTAAGTGCACAGCTAAGTAGTAGCACTTCTAAGTACAGAAAATATTCTAAGCAATCTATTTTCAAGAGCCATTATATTCTGAAAATTGACTATTAAAATACCACCTTCTTATTCATCAAGTCTGCACTGAGTGTGTGTTCAATCTTGTCTGCTGGCATATGACTGCAATTTTACTGCCTTTTACTCCCACTTACCTGAAAAATTCAGCAGAGAGAGGAGAAGAGAATCTGAGCTGGGTGTTGGAACAGAAAGGCTCTCAGGCTTCCAAGGAGCTTCACCTGTCTAAGGGGACTGAAAATGGCTCTTCTGTGCCAGACTCAGCAATCAATAACTGGGGAAGTGTGTGTTAAAGTCCTGGAATGATTTGGGTTGGAAGGACCTTAAGGATCATCTTGTTTCAAACCCCTGCCACGGGCAGGGAATCTTCCACTAAATCAGGTTGCTCAGAGCCCCATAGAGCTTTCAGTTCCAGGGATGGGGAGTCCACAACCTCTAGGGCAACCTGTGCTGGACCTCACCGCCCTCACAGGGAAGAATTTCTGCCCAGTATCCCACCCATCCCTGCCCTCTGTCAGTTTGAATCTATTCCCCCTTGTCCTGTCACTACATGTGAAAAATCCTCTCCAGCTCTCTTGGAGCCCCCTGGAAGGGGCTCTAAAGTCTTTTCTTCAGGGTGAACAGCCCCAACTTTCTCAGCTTTTCCTCACAGGAGAGGTGCCCCTCTGGTGCTGTATTTATACAAGAAGAGAGCTGATTTTGTGCTCAGTCTTTGTCACTGACAGCGACACACAACTGCACAGTCTTGCTTTGCTTTTGATCCCACCAAAAAGTTTATTTATACCCTGCCATTTATGCTGTCTGATGGCACCATATTTTAGTTTTGAGGTGCCTCTTTCCCTGTCAGTGCCTGCAAAGTTTGATCAGAAGCACAGAAGAGGCAGAATCACAGAAGAGGCAGAAGCTCCAGAAGAGGCAGAATCACAGCTGGATTTTTCAAATTAAAATTCCAGCTTTTTAGCTGGAAAAGCCCTCCCAGCCCATGGAGTCCCAGCTGTGCCCTGTCCCCACCTTGTCCCCACCTTGTCCCCAGCCCAGAGCACTCAGTGCCACCTCCAGGCCTTCCTTGGCCACCTCCAGGGATGGATGGAGACTCCAAACCTCCCTGGGCAGCCCCTGCCACGGTCTGACCATCCTTTCCATGGAGAAATCCTCCTGATGTGCAACCTGAGCCTCCCCTGGCACAGCTCGAGGCCATTTCCTCTCATCCTGTCACTTGTCACCTGGGAGCAGAGCCTGACCCTCACCTGGCTCCAAACTCCTTTCAGGAGGTACCACAGAGTGCAGGGGAAGATCTCTCCTCAGGCTACTGTATTATTCAGTCAAAATTTGATTCGCATCAAATCCAAAAAGATCAAAATGAAAATATGGCTGTGCCTTGAACAGCATTCCACGTTCCATCAGAGCAGAATTGCTCTGCTTGGTAGAATATATTTGAATTTTGACTGTGACTGCAAAAACTGAAGTTTCCCAGCATTTGAAATTGGTACAGTGAAGTGAAACCTCTGCCTCTTGCTGGTTTTACACTATGAATTTTTAAACAGAAGAAACAATTTCACACAAACTTTCTGCAAAAACAAAAGAAAAAGTCCATGTTGAAGATGAAATTAAGGATGTTGATTTCAAATGGAAAGCTTTTGTTTCAGAAAGATGTGTGCTTTTGAATCCTAGAAATCAGGAGAGGATCTGGATCACAGCCCTAATCACAGAGAATATGCTGTGATTATAGACTTTGGTAGCAACAGATTTAACAAGCACAGCCTCAGATGCTGGATGATGGATGACTGGTCATCTCAGACTTATCAGCTAATTTGCCCAAGAAAAAATCTAAAGAGACAGTTTCCACAGCTGAACTCCCATTAGTATGCCTTCTTACCTTTTAATTAAGAAGCTAATGGCTGTGGGTAGTTAATCAACAAAATACCTTTAAAGATCTGGGCCTGAGGGCCTTTGTTACAACCTAACCTTTGTTCCCATGCAAGAGGAATGAGTCAATGGCTCCAGCAAAATCTTATTGCTGTCGTTGTCACAAAGATATCAAATACCATTTGAAAAATTGAGCCTTTTCTCAGGAGAGTTACAAGACATGAGTTACTGTACAGTGTGAGTCATCTTCCAGCC